GGAGGCTGGGCTAGGAAGGCCCCCCGAACACTAGGTTAAGGGGCTTACCCAGTAATCCATGGGACCACCTTTCCCCACATTCTCTATGACCCCTGGGAAAGTGGGGGAGGAAACTCTGGTACCCACCACTTACCACAGTTGGTGCCCTGGTTAGTTTGGCATGGAGTAGGCCAACCTTTGTTCTTACAGACTCCTAAGAAAAGGTATTTTATGTGGAAGCCCAACATATAAAACCACTCTTTTTGGGGCCACTTTTTTGGGGGCCACTCTTTTTGGGGGAGCCCCATGGTCTCCTCTTTTGCTTCTGAGGCACCCGTCATTTTCAAGGGCAGCCTGGGGAGCGGGGGAGGGGGGACGCTCACTTGGGCATGAGGCCCAGCTCTCCCTTCTGCAGGCTGCAGGTTCGAAGCTCTGCCCTTGCTAGTGAGAGCCCTGTGGGGCGAACTTCCGGGTGCCCCTGACCTTGTTCCCTCCTGGACCCTGGGCCCCTCAGCACCATTGGTGACCTGCAGCCCTACTCTGTGGACCCAGCAGGCCTGGGACCAGCCCACCTGATGCCTTGCTTGGGAGGGGAGGGGGCCAAGTTGGTCTCAGAGGCCGGAATGAGAACAGGCTGGGGAGTGGGCCAGGGCTCTGGTCCTTCCCTGACTGCCCTGCGCCTGAGCCCTGGCCATGGTCTCCACAGAAGGGGGTTCTGAAGATGGCTGAGGCCTCCCTCCCCAGCTTCCTCAAGGACACAGGGATACCAGCCTTCTCCCGGAGAAGATTTTATTGGATGCACACACACACTTCTCCCTGGGGTTTGCACGTTCAGTCTGGCCCGTGCGGAGGCAGCAGTGCTCGTGTGAACAAAGACACCAGCCCCCAGCACGGCCACGGAGACCACAGGGTGGGCTCAGCTTCCCAGGGCCACCAGTACCTCTTGATTCACACCCTGCCCACCAGGTGGGCTGCCCAGGAGGGTAGAACTGGAATCTGTACAGAAACACCTGAGTGTCCTGGAGGCACCCACATGGCCCTGACGTGACACGCCTCCCCCACCCCTCCCTCCCAAGCAGCCAGAGAACACTGAGATTTAGAGACTTGCCTGAGGGCCCCGGCTGACTAGGGAAGGAGCTGTGTGCTGGGCCAGCAGCTCCATACACCTGTCAGAGTGCATCTCAGGGCCAGGCCTCTGGCTTCACCTACCCAGGGGTGGCCTCCCAGTCCCTCAGTCACCAACAAGGCTCCGTGGGGTCCTGGGGAGCTCCAGGGACCCCCTGCCCCATCAGATGCCTCTGAGACTGTCTGACCAACACAAATAGGAAATGAGGAACCAGGTCAAAATGCTCACAATTTCCTGCATGTCTCAGATGGTTGTTTTCTTAAATGGTTGGGTCACATTTCTACTTCATTTATTGAAACTAGTCAATTTCAAGATTCATCAAGTCAATAAAGTAAAAAGGAAAAGAAAGATAAAAGAAACAATAACAAAACATTTCAATTTAGCTTTGGTGACATTGGCCTCAGGAATTTCTTTGCTGGTGAGAACTGCAAGGGGGCAGGGCAGGGTGCTCCTAGCGCTCCTGCCTCTAGGCTACAGGAAGCCTCCTGTCCACTCCCCTGGGGCCTGAAGGAGGGCTCAGTGCCCTGCTCCTTCCTGACCCCGGGAGCCAGGGCAGCTGGAACTCCTGCTTCAGTCTGTGGGGTTAAACTTGGCCTTCCAGTTGGAACCTGGGCGCCTGCTGCTCAGCTCTGCCCTAGCAGTCCCCTAAGACAAGAGCCTGAGCCCCATCTGATAGAAACACAAGACCAGGAGAACCCGCAAGGATCAAGGGAGAGCACCAGGCAACGGCGTTACTCCAGCTTCTGAAGCACTCAGATTAACCTGCAGCTATCTTCTCACCTACAAATCAGAGTTGCTGGTGCTCCAGCCCCCACGCAGGGTGGGCTGGGTCTGGTTATCACGAGGGATCGTAAAGATCCCTCAGCCCCCAAATCCCTACCAAGCCAGAAACAGCTGAAGCTTGGGGGTTGGGGCATAGACTCACAAAGAACAAGACTGCATATTGCTAGAGGGTTGGAAACACCCCGCCAGGTAGATCCTACTTCAAACTCCAAACCAGGTGTGTCTCGTGCACACAAGCTCACATTGCAGGTACCACTGACACCTGTGCCTGTCGAGGTGAGGTCTCTAAGGCTGGGCCAGGCAGGACAGGGCTCAGGAGGAGAGGCCCTGCGGCTTTCAGAAGGAAGGTGGGTAGGACTGGTCTAGGGCAATCACTGGCCCAGCTGACCTCTTTAGTGCAAAACCCAACAGGGGTGCTGGGGAGGGGTGGTGGTGAGTGGGATGGGTGCCCAGGAACTGGGTCGATTCCCAGACCAGAACTGGTAACTTTCTCCAGAGGCCAGACCTCAGAGATGGGCAGTGTGGAGGGGAGGAGGGGCGGCAGAGAGGGTCCCTCCTTTCCCACCAGTGGAGCCTGGGCAGAAACAGAGCCAGAGGAAAAGCAGGCCGGCAGCGTCTCGGCTCGGCCCGGCCGTAGTGCCGGCTCACTCAAAGGTCTCCCACTGCTTCCTGAGCTGCTCCACGGAGCCTGGTGCCGGAGCCGGGGCTGGTGCCGGGGCAGGGCTCACGTCTTGCTTGGTTTTCTGTAGCAAATCCTCAAAGGGGTCTCTGGCCTCTTGAGTAGCAGAGGGCTGCAGTGCTGGCTCCAGGCCCTGAGGGGGTCTGGGAGGAAGGAGTGGTGGGTCTCCAGGTCTAAGGGCCAGCCCCTGCTTGGCCTCAGCAGCCCTGGCACTTGAACGAACCAAGGGCAACGTTCGGATCCTCGAAGGGGCAACTGTTGGGGGGCCCAGTGGCTGCAGGGGGCTGGTGTGGGCACCCATGGGCATCTGGCCAAAGAGATTGGGCATGGAGAGGGCAGACAGGTTGGGCTGAGATCTATGTGGGGGGCAGAAGCCAGAGCTGGACATCAGGAAGCTGGGGGCAAAAGCTGGCCCCAGGGAAGCAGGAGGGGCCCCGAAAGGCCCGGCTGGTGTGGAGACCAGGGACATGGTGGGCAGTGCTGCTGGCACAGGTGGGACAAAGGGGTTGAGTGATGGCTGCAGAAATGGGGTGGGGGTCCCCGCAGGGGGCAAGCTGAACTGGGGGGTGAATGGGGTGGCTACATTTGGGGCTGTAGGGCCTGGTGGAAGGGTAATGTCCGACCAAGCTGTGTTAAGTGGGTCCAGGAGGGCCAGCAGGGCGTCACTGCCAGTGGCCGCAGCCCCTGGGGTCAGGCTGAGCGGCTGGAGTAGTTTGGCAGGGCCTTGGGGGGCAGCACTGGGAGGCGGGGCAGTGCGCCTTTCCTGCTCGGCCTGCAGCCACTCTGTGGAGAAGTCACCAAGGGCGGCACCAACAGCCTGGAGCTTAGCTGTGCGGGCGGTGGGAGGCGGGGGCACGATGCCCAGCTCTGGGGTCTTCCTGCCCTGGGGCCGGGGAATAGTGATGCTGCCCGGAGTGGGGGTGGGTGCCGCCTCCTTGTCGCTGAGGTTCAGGATGCTGTCCTGGTTCTGGGGCCTGCAGAGCAGGGCCGGGGAGTTCCCCAGCAAGGCTGAGGGCTTCTCGGGGGAGGTGGCCAAGGGCTTGCTGTAGATGGCCATGTCATCCTGGCCCAGGCTCCAGAGCTTGTTGTATGGGTGAGCCAGCCTCAAGGCAGCCGGCATGCCACGGCTCCTTTCACTCCTGCCCAGGTCCAGCCTCTGTTGGAGGGAAGAGGGAGTCAGTGACCACAGGCTGACCTGGGACAGGCTGGAAGGAAGCACTTCTCCACTCCCACGCCCCTCCTGTGTGTCCTGTTGGGCAGGTATGGGGGATTAGCCCCTGGGACTCAGAGCAGCTGGGGGCTCAGCCAGGTCACCAGGAGAGAGCCAAGCCTGTTGACTCCAAGCCTAGGCTGTTCTGTGTGGCACAAGGGGCTCCGGAGAAAGTCCTTTTTTTTTTTTTACCAGGGCTGCTGAGTTTTAGGAAAATGACTCCATTCACTGGCCATCACCTGGCCAGGCCTCTTTTACTTTCCAAAGCACGTGGGCACTTTAGTTGCCTGTGAGCCCAGGGAGGTGAGCAAGCCTCAAGGCAGCCGGCATGCTGAGGCTCAGGGCCTGGGTTAGGCACACTGGCTGGGGAGGAAATGGAACTGGGCTCACGTGCCATCTCTGCCACTCCCAAGCCCCACACTTGGGCCTCACCTCCTTTCTCTTGACCTGAGGGGCGCATCTGAGTCACGGACACATAGGAACTCTGTGAGTTCCCTGCGGGACCTCAGCAGCAGCCCTCACTGGCAAGTGAAGAAACAGGCACGAGAGGGGGTGTGATGGGTTGTAGGTCACAGTGGAAGACCAGTGGTTACATGCAAATAATCCAGAGCCCAGGAGTTCTGAGCCAGAGTCTCTACAAGGAGCCTTTCCTGGTGGGGGTGGGAGCAATCCCAGTGTCACCAGGGTCGTGAGAGAGCGGCCGGAGCACTGGCCCACCTCTCTCTGGTGCACGGATGGAAGTGGGGCAGACTGCCATCAGATCTAGCATCTTTCCTGATGGTCACTGAGGGGGTGGTCTGGCAGCTGGCCCACCTGGCAGGGTTTACAGCCAGACTGACCCTGAGCATTGGGTGAGGTCCTTGGAAAAGTCATTGTTTCTCCCTCAGTCTCTTTCACTGTCATGTGGGTGGGACCTGCAGCTTGTGTGAAAGCTGCAGTCCCAGCAGGTGTCTGCCCCAGCCCCCACCATACCTGATAGTCAAAGGTACCCGGCTGTTCCCTCAGGTCTTTGGGGGTTCGAAGATCCTCCAAGCTCTTGGCCTGGCCCAGTGGCTGCAGTGGCACCTCCATGTCCAGGCTGCTGAAGATATCTTCCAAGAGGTCAATGCTGGCAGCCCGGTCAGGTGGTGCTGGGGCAGGGCCCACGGGCTCCCTGGCTCGCTGCTCTGGGCTCTCTGCCTCGCCTTCTGCACTGTCCGACTCCTTGAGTGTCCGATATGGCTGTGGCCTGAGAGGAGGCAGAGCAGGCTGGATTCTCCCACCCAGAGCCTCTGCAGGAGGAACAAGCATCCCCACCCCCAAGAACTTCCAGGTATTGAGGATGGCACTCAGGAGCCTTGGGGACAGGAAAATGTCCCGGGGCCCCTGAGTACAGGAGTCTGGGCAGTGGCATTCTGAAAGACCTGGGGCTAAATTGGGGTTCTGCTGGTCACTGGAACCTTGGGCAAGTCACTTTGGCTCTAACTGGCACTTAGTTACCCCCAAATCATAGGACCCCTCAGATAAATGGCTAGTGGACTCAAGCCATTCAGACAATGCATGAGGAATGGGACATGAGTGGAAAGGCAACAGGGAGGGAGGCTGACTCAGGCCTAAACTGTGACATTCAGGTCTTGGGAACAGCTTTCAGGAATTGAGTTGGGGAAACTCCCCAGGGCAGCTGCCTGGCATACTCCACAATCCTCAGGGGGAGCCTGTGCTGACCTTCATTCCAGCTCTGGTGGTGCCATCTCTCGCTTTGGGGCCTTGGGCACATCATTTAACCTCTCTGATCCTCAGTGGCTCCCCCATTCCAGAGAGCATCTCCCTTGCAGGCAGTGGTGGGCACTAGGTGAGTGGTGTCTGGTGCACAGTGGGCATGGACAGGCTAACGGCACAATGCACATTCGTGCACCAAAACCTTGCAGCTGGACCCAGGCGCAGCGACAAAGGGTTCCTTTCTCACAAGCCTGAGCCCCAGCGCACCACTGCACACATGGAGAATGGTGCTAGATAAACCCTGACCTCTAGTGGAGCCGGAGCCAGAGCAGTGTCACACCTCCTTTAACCACGGGCAGGGGAGGGCTAGGCCCCCTGGGTCAGGCAGAAACTGCCCACGACTCTGGTGAAGCGGGGAAAGGCCACCACCTGGTGGTCACAAAGGCTCACTTGCAGGAACCAGGCAGGAGACATCGACCTGTAACTTCTCGCTGAAGCAACACAAGCAGCCCATGAAGTGGACTCAGAAATGGGGAATGGAAAAGCTTAATTTTTTGGAGGGTGTGGGGCTGGATTGTGGGGAACCTTCTTTTTTTAAAATTCCATAATTAATATGTGGCTTAGGCTATATACATAATAATGATAAAAATTATTTTAAAAGATCAGCAAAACATTGGGATATGTCAGCATTAATATACACATTGCGTAGCAATAAGTTTTTCTTGTTTTAAACTTAAAATCTGACCCTCCATCTCCATGGCTTTCCAAGATGTGCTGAGATAAAGGACTTGGACAGCACCCACTAGGCTGACTGTAGCCACCAATTCCAGTAATGATCAAGTGCATTGCCCTATATAAGGAGTGGGGACCCATGCTCCCATCTCACACTGCTAGAGTCCTGTCTCTCTTGTCACCTTGTTCCACTGTCACCGCCCCGTGGGGCTGGCGGCATGAACACCCTGAGAAGAGGCACATGGAGGTGGCATCCACCCTGCAGGTTGGCACTGGGGCACCGAAGGCAGCAGCTCCAGACACCCTACTACCCACAAGGGCACACAGCATGGGCCACCCCTACCCCCCAAGGCCCTGGGGAGTCACCAAGCCCAGCTCAGGGAAACGGAAGAAGGAAGGAGACCATTCAAAGGGAGCAGAGAAGAAAAAGCTGTCGGTGAAGCCAGAGCCCGGGCCCTCTTCCCGCTGGCTTTCATCGTCAGAGGAGTCTTCGGAGAGGAAGACAGCATAGTGTCGCAAGGGCTTTACCAGGCTGGGACAGAGGGAGACAAGAGAGAAGAGAACAGTTAGGAGGCGCCCTTGGACTCCACGTGGGGGTTGGGGCCGGGGCCTCTGGGCTCAGCACCAGCCGCGGGTGGAGGCTCCCTGGAGGAGGCAGGAGGGCACAGGTGGCCCAATGGGCCCCCAGGGAAGGAACCTCGTCCCAAAGAGAAAAGAAACTGTGGGTTTGCCACACGTGCCCAGAGCCTTAAACACAGGATCCAGTCACCTCTGACCTGACAACCCTAAACGTGGCCGGGATCAGTGTCCATCACTGCCTCTTTACACTACTAAAGCATGAAACACCCTAAACTTCCAGCAACAGGAGGCTGGTGAAGTGAATTAGGTACTGCTGGCTGAATGTTGTCCTCCGGGAACTACGATGTTTATGAAGGAAAGCCTAAGAATCGGGGTGCAGAATGGCAATTATACCGCGTTCTCTCGTCTGCTGATGGAAAACGCACGGAAGGAAGGCCGGAAAGGTGTCTAAATGTCTACAAGAGCTGGAGGAGCAGGCTGACCCCCCTTTTTATTTTCTGTGTCTTCTATGTTTTCTACAATGTGCATATCTATTGCAATAATCAGGAAAAATAAAAAATAAAACAGCTGAGGGAGGCGGTGAGCCACGTGGAGGAGGGCTCGCGAGAGGGCCCTTTTCCACGAGCGGCCGCTCCCTGGCGTCTCCCTCAGATGCCTCTTCAGAGAGTCTTTTTCATCTGTGATGTGGAAATTAAATATTCATTGTTATAAAAAATACATCTCTCTTGTCAGCCACCTGTGAGCTCTACCTCTATCAACAGGAACACACACACAGCCCAGAGAAAGTCCACGCCAGCGCCTGTGAATTACACACGGCCCGGGGCCCAGGAGAGGCCTGTGCAAAGGGCAGCTGGACCGGTCAGACCTTAGTTCGAATCCCAGCCCTGCGGCCGGTGCTCAGGCATCCGGCGAGGAGTGGGTGGTCCACGCCCCGGCCCTGTGCAGCAGGCTGGGCACCTGCCAAGGATCCTGAGGGTGATGGTGAAGTTGAGGGAGAGGGTATAGGAGACACTGGGGTGCCTGAGAACATGCTGTTCTTTCAGGAGCACGAGAATGGCCCCAGGGCTGCGGCGCTCCCCAGCACTTTCCCTCCCGAACCCCTGTGCTTCCCTGGAGCTTAGCCAGGCACTTTTCCTCCTACTGAAGTGGAGGTCGAGGCACAGAGTGGGGAGCCACTTGCCTAGGGTTGCAGTGGTCCTCTCCTCCCCCAGGCCCCTTGCAGGGTGTTAGGGATGGGCCACACCTTGGCCCTTCCTGGACCAGAGAGAGCATCGGCTCAGGGGGGCACTTTCCTCTGGACTCGGGAGGGGGGAAGATTTCATTTGCAGAAATGAGCACTGGCCACCCTCAGCACAGGGCTGCCTGGATCCTCCATTTCCACCAGAACAAGAACAAGGCGCTGCAGAAGGGCCACTCTCCACACAGCCACAAAAATCCTGTTCTGAGTCACAAACCCCACCTATCACTCTCCTGCTTAGCACCTGTGAATCTGCTGCTCTGAACTGCAACTTCTGGGCGATCAGCTGGGTGGTGAGTAAACCCACCGAGTAAAGAGGAATAATACGTCCAGACATTTGTGGGTGACGTACTGGATGGGCGGGGTGAGGGCTGCAGAGTGGCAGTGCCAAGTCCGAGCTCCAAGCAGGGCAGACGCGGAGCTGGCCCTGTCCCCCTGTGCGGCCTCCTCCTGCCCTCCCCTAGGTGCCACCTGCCTGTCATCTCTGCCGGGTGTGCTGACTGCTCTCCAGGTTGAAGACTCGGCCTAACGGCATTCCTAGAAAGCGCTCCTGGAGCTCCCAGATGCAGTTTGCTCCCCAGATGGTGAGCTTCTCCGTGGGCTGTTTCACCACTTCACTGATACCATGTAACCTCTTGCAATTCTATTTCTGAGCTGAGCTCAAGGGCAGGGCCTGGTTCATTCTTTCTCCCCAAAGAGGGCACAGCATTAGCACCATCATAGTTTGTTGATCGAATGAACAGAAGCCAGCATGCTGGGGAGACAAGGCACCCCCCATTCACCTGTCTTCCGGGAGCCCCAACACAGCATGGCCCCTTTCACCACCTTGCGATTGCCGTATAATGTGTCCCCTCTCCGAGCTCCCTATCTATCCTCTGAGATGCTAAGCCCCATGGATTGGGACCACTTCTGGGGGTGTGGGGCAGGTGGGAATCTCAGAAAATGTTTCAGACAACATCCACATGCAGGCACTGTGCCAGGGGCTTTACATAGGTTACTTCTACCCCTCCCAACAGCCGAGCAGGAAGGTCTCCGTATACTGACTTTATAGAGGATGAGACTGTCACTAGTCCAAATGTCCATCTGTCCATCCACGCATCCAACTAAGAGGCCCTTCCTGGGTGCCTGTTGTGAGCAGATCCAGTGCTAGCTGAGCACTGGGAGTCACTGGCAAAGGAGAGAGATGTGACCAAGTGACCCAGCCAGGAAGTGACAAGCAGGGATTCCAACCCAGTGCCCTCACTTTCCCGTCAGCCGGGCTGTTGGTAGATGTATGAGGGGACACGCACCCTGAGGCTCCTGGGAGGCCCTCAAATCCACCTTGAATGCCTTCTCCAAGCCATCCAAGCATGCCCCTCCCCCAGCTTTGACAAGAAACTGGAGGGCACAGCTTGGCACACGAACCGAATGCCACTAAACCTGCCAGGAACGTTTGGATTCAGGTGAGAAAAAAGGGCCTTTGTGCTGGACTGGACCTTGGCTTCGTCAGTTCTCGTCACTATAAAAATCCAGTGCCCCCCACACTGGGTATCCGGTGGGGAGGGGAGAGGGAGCCCCAACTCCAGCCCTCCACAGCGGCTCTCCTGGCCAGGCCAGGCCGGTCGGGCAGTGGCTTCGGCACGAGGCGCCGGCGTCTCCTGCTATCCAGCACTTGATCGACAGCGCACCCGGTGGGAACTCCGCCACGTGGTCTGGTCTGACCGGAGCTTTTTCAGGTCCAGGCTGCGGCCACATGGGTGACGCTGAGGACACCAGCAGCACTGACAAGTGTTGAGCTAAATGCTGTCCGGACAGTTTCTCATAAACTCCTTCCGTGTCCTCATTTTGCAGATGAAGAAGCCAAGGCTCAGAGAGGCGGGCTGCTTGCCCAGTGTCCCACAGCGGCTCAAGGACCCGGGAGTCTGCATTTCCCCAGCTCTAAACCACCTCGCGATCCTGCCTCCTCGCTTTTGTGGATCTGAAACAATGAAATGAGGTGCAGG